AAACAAACTTTTCATAAACCGTGGTAAACTATGGGATGTTGCATACGGATGGGTCTTTTACCATAAATCCTTAAATAAAAGCCCCTTTGAAATAAACGCCCCCATGGTGTAGGATTTCAATGTGGAAAAGCAGTCTGATAATATAGGGCAAAATTGAATAAGGAAATCTATATCATCTGTGATTAAAGCGCTATTGTTTTGTAGGAATAGAACACAACTGTTTTCTGACCACAAATATGATATGCCTTTTCCACATGAAACTGTATATATATTTAACTCGATGCAGCTGTTTTAATTAACCTCAGCTCTAGACTCCAGCTATTACTTTTTGCCAGGAACTTGGGCAATGCTCGAAAATATTCCTTCGTTGCAATATTTGGAAAATGTCTTATGCATTCGCTTATGCATTCGAATTTTAGGGCGATACCAAAAGAGTTAGTAGCCATGAATTCCCTTCTACGGCCCTTGCAACTAAATAGTAAACTTGTATGGTAACGGTATTTGGCTTATAGAGAAATTGCTTTTCGTCACGCTTCAGCACGTGATCCTACATGTAATTTGCTGAAACCTCAAACCTCTGTAATTTGGTCTTGGTTCATAACTTAATGAACCAGGCCAGAATAACAGTTATCCGTTAGCAAATTTTAAATATTTCATCGGCCATATTTCGCCCAATTTTGTACAAATCTAACAGATTTTGCATGCTGAAAGGTAGTTAATGTCGTTCTCTCAGATTACCCTATGTGGTCAAAATTAAGATATTCAAGTATAGGTCTTTTATGACGTCACACTTCGGTACTCTATAGGCAGACTAACAAATTTTTCATTTATAAAAATGGATTCAGAAGGCTATCTGAACGAAACAAAATGTAACATAGCGTTCGACATTATGTAATATTACCATGGACATCCTAGTGACAAGGGAATTCAATTATATCATGTGCATTTGCTTCTTGCTGAATATCTCAGGTTCATTGGGATAAAACAGATCTATGAAAAGACTATGGTTTATGGACAATGGTTTAACTTAGATTTTGCTGCATCAGTTCTATACTTTAAATGTTTGCTGCACACCGCCAGAAGGCAGATTAAAAATAGAAACCCAGGTAAAACCTTCCGGCAAGTAAAACCTTTCTGGCAAGGTGGACTCCTTTTACAACTACAAGCCTCGTTTTTGAGTACAAATATAGTCTCCCAAGCAAGGTGGTGTATTGTGGCTTATCTATACGTAACGGGATACTGTAAACCGATATATGTCGGAAAATGGTAAGGTTAGATCACAGGATATTACCAAGAGACAATTCTGTTAGACAGCACGTGGAAATTTTCAAATCACTGTCTGGGTAAAATGCAAATTGAAGACTTAAAAAGCCCCGTTTAGCCTTTGGCCCACAGCGCTGTAATCAATGCCTTAAATCTAAAATTATTGTGCGCATTATAAATTTGCAAGCCAGATCCTAAATTTGTCTTCCTCTCGATTCAAACGATTGAATAGCCAGATATAAACTGCAATAACCATAATAACAGGATAAACATATTCTTATGATAAACAACTCAAAATCTGGCTTGCTACTGGCAGCTGTAGCAAATTTTGAATTTTGGGAATTGGTTGTTTTGTAGGGGCTGTTAGCATCGAAAATTGTTCTTCATAAAACTTTCTCACTTTAGATGCTTTATTAATTCCTAGTTAGAAACTAGCATTTTTATATGAAATCTTTTCATCGCTTAATTCTTGTTACTGGCTTAATAGCAAAACTTTTCATTGATTTTGTTTTAGGCTTTCGAATGGTTTGAGTGCAGAGAAGTTAACAAAGTGGTTGCTAATGAAAAGTGAAGAGTATCTAAAGAATGTCCCTTCTATACTGCGTTTATCGTTTTGCTTAAATTGGTTGTAATTTTTGTATAGGTAAATATCCGAAATGATGCATAATCTGAATGACATTATACCATTGTCGTACAGTGTAATACCAGTGGCGTACCCAAGGGGGGGAATAGGGGGGTCCGGACCCCCCCACTTTTCTAAAGTATGGTTCTCGAGATTTGTCCAAAAGCGATGTAAAACTCATAGGGGGGGGGGTAGTATACTGTATGCTTGTGTCAATAGCAATTGTAAAATACTTTGCTATTTACCGTAGCTAAAATGAATCAAACAATAGGGGAAAATTTTGCAAAAGAGCGTTTCCCCGCATTTGCGAGTATTTGAAGGGTGTGGTCCCAAAAAAATCTCTCCAGACCCCCCAACTACTACAGCCCTGGGTACGCCACTGTGTTACACAGTTGAATATATTCTAGATCGGCTGCACAACGGGTTTTATTTCAGAAACATTGAAGTATCTTATGCTACAAGGCAAAAGCGGTTCAAATTTCTTATATTTTTACTATATTATTTCTTTAATGTTATACATGACTTTGACGAATTGGGTCTACTTCTCGTTGTTAGATCAGAAATTCCTCTCTGAAGGCGCAAATGATGTCATCAGCGCTACAGAGTTCCGAAGTGATGACGTCAAAGAATGCATTTAGAATTTATAAATTTTTACCATATAACAGAGATGAGAGAAATCAGCTGATTTGTTACAAATTAGCTGATATATGGCCACATGATCAAAATTTCTTTTCCGTCAAATCTCTATAATTTAGTCTTGGTTCATAACTTAATCAACCAGACCTGAATATTAATAATCCGTTAGCAAACTTGAAATCTTTCACTGGCAAAATCTCAGCCAATTTTGAACATCTGAACTGATTTTGCACTTCAAGAGGTATGTTATGTTGTTCTCGCAGATTATGTGGTTGAAATTAAGCAAATCTAAAATCGGATTTCTCAATGACATCACATTTTGATTATTTATCAAATTTGGTTCGAAGAAACTTTCCTTTTACAGTTTGAAAGAGGATGTTTTCGCAGAAGTGAAAAATACGTTTATACGGTGGCTTGGAGATGACTTGGACTGAGAACAAGGTTTCTTGAGAAAATCGTAGACATGGGGCTTGGAATTGTCTTATATTTAGAAACTGCAAAAAATAAGCTAGTTTCTAGAAGAATGGAGAGATATCAAGGGAGAAGATACGCTAAAATAGCTTTTTGATAACTGGGGAGAGTTCTTGGACTCATGCCTTGATTAAGAACGATGGCTTATTTACCGCCAGAGCCTTTCGTCTATAGCGTGAGTAAAAGAAGAGATTGAGAATTCGATTGGTGAGATTAGTAAAGTAGAAGGGTTATAATCAGTGGCGTCGCTTGTCTCTCCATACTAAGGGGGTCATCAATAGAAGAATTTACTGACGAAGGCATAGACTGAGAAGAATTTAGGTACTATTTCACCAACTTATAGCTGATTTTACCGACAAACCAAGGGTTTTGTAGACAAACTGAAGATTAACCGACGAATTCAAGAGGAATTGGGGGTGTTACACCCCCACTAGCTACGCCCCTGGTCATAGTGACCAGACAAGTTTGTAACTCTTGATCATCAAGATAAGAACTAGACGTAACGATTATGTCGAGGTATGTCTTGAAAGATAGTGTGGTAGAAACGATCCTAACGTTTCTGGCAGTCATAATATTGATGAGTTTTAAGAAAATTTTCTTGAATGCTGTCACAATTTGCTAAATCAAAGCAAAAGATAAAAGACTTGAAATGCAAACGAAAATTCAGCTCTTCTGTCTAGAACAGAAAGGACTAGAAAATCAGACTTTCAACTTTTATGTGAGAAATTAGAGCACTTGCTAGGCAATGTGAACAGACTGTGATCGTATTGTGTAGCAAAATATGGCCCACAACGCATAAATTTATACGAGCTCTTGAGAAAATGGCTTTACCGTGTACCGTGTAACAGGCAAAAGCCTTAGTTAATTAATATATTTCGCGAAAGAGAAACCGTTGATTACCTGGCTGTACACTGACACGCCTGCACTGATTCTTTTGCAGAGCAACCTTCCTCCTCTCGATTTGTGTTGAGCGAGTAGTTTTGGCACTGGAAGGGCATTCTGGTAGCTTCGATTTCGGTAGTATCCGGTAATGACAAAATCTGTTGGTTGAAAACAAACGAGATTGATATTTTCCGAAAGAATTGGGCAAGAGAAATGAAAATTGATTGCCTGGCTTACACTTGATCTAAAGCAATGATCAAAACTTTTTCTTCAAATAGTTAAATTCCTGTAAAATATGAACCTACAATAACACAACATCAAAAGTTGACATAATGTTTTGAATGTATCTTAACCATAGTACTCTAATGTCTTTCGACTTTTTCCAAATTTTAGTTCCTAAGCAGAATTTACCAACAGTTTAGTTTAGGAACAATATTGGAATATATAGAGGCTTCAAGTTGAATTCTTTTACAAGGATCGAGGGCCAGCAAAAATAATCGTATTCTTACATAAAAACATTTTTCCTTCATATTTTCTACAGACAAAGTTTCGATAATCGTAAATGCATTATAACAACATCCAGAAATGTCACTTTCATGATTAGACTGTATGAAAATCATTATTGAGAGGGCTAAAAGAATACCAACAAATAACATTTAACAAAGGAGAGAAATTTTTCATGCGTCACAAGAGTAGCATGATAAGGATAATCATTCTACTAGATTACCCATAATATTCATGCAAAAAGAAAAGTACCAGTAGATTTGACAATGTTTCAATCTACTTAGAAAATGCCTGTCTGTATGCACAAATTTTTAATAAATACCTTTTCCAGTAGTGCAAGAGAACTGAAAAAACAGAAAAGGCCGCATCATGGAACAAGCCTCGTTCTATAATGTCGCTTTTCACGTGGCTCATTATGGCGTCAGCAATGTCAACAGGAACATTAATCTATAGATAGTAAGTAAAAGTTAACATAAGCTGGTTTAGCAATCACTTAAATTCTAAGTTGAAGCTATAAGAGAGTAAAGTTAATAAATATTGAATAAATACTATACAAATAGAATACAGAACAATTCAATACGAAACTATAAATCTGAAATCTTGAAATTTAGGCCTCTGAACACCACTACTTTGCTTTCATGCCACTATGAATACCGCTTCTTTGATAAGGAACCCAGCTCGAGGCCTAGTTCTTGAAGCTCCTTATTTTTGGACCTTTTTTGATCGAAATGTAGTACAAAAATTTTCTTTCCTGTTCCAAATTTAACTACAGATTTAGTGCCATGAACATTGCAAAGACACAACCAAATACTCGATAGCTACTTTCGTAACACAAGATTTATCTGGTTTTAGCTCCAAATGAATGTAAACGGCTTCCTTATTCTTAATTGTTTGCAATGAGAAAAATATTCAAGATTGAAAAGTTCCTTAGGGTTTTTGACTATAGTAATAACGGTTCTTTGATTTTTCCACTTTCTATATGTAGGTTACTTAGAAAGTGGTTCCTTATTTAAAAATATTGCAATTTTTACGAATGTTTAAACAAATTCAAATCTACGTAAAATGCATTTAAAGTACTTAAATGGGGACGAAAACAGAATTTTCTCTGAATGTGATAAAATGATGGTTTGTCATCGTTGACCTTGATGTTACTGATGTTGTTTAAACTGTTGCTGTTGTTGCCAGACTGTAGCAATTTTTGCTGTTTTGATTTACACTTCCTTCCTAATCACGATGGCTACTAGGCTTCAAATAAAGAATAGAAGTCTCCCGGGCCTAGTTTGCCAACGGGCAAATGCAGCACTGTAAACAAAGGAACATTTTAGAGTCGACGGGGCAACAGTTTTCCATTATACCCTACGTAGAATTTCTTCTCTGCTTTGGCAACATTTTATTTGTACCCTGAGTGGGTGATTTGTTTGGTGATTCAGAAGAATTGAGGATTGCCCTAATCTCATAAGGAATATCCTTATCTTATCTCTGATGAGGAATATCCAAGATGAATGAATATAAGAAATATTTATTGGCAATTTCCCAATATTAACAGACAAATAGCGAGATAGGAAAAATTCTTAACTGTTAGCCTTACAACAGAGAGTTAATCCAGGTTAAAACACTTCTATTTCACCGTTATTGCCATCAGCTAAATAAAGTTTAGTCAATAATGATAAGTTTAAATACTGCAAAGAAAATGGGGCTGGCCTTGCTTTGCCTTTAATGATAACATAAATCTTGTCATCAACTCGTGAAAATTATGACGTTAGTCGCTCTTTTTTCCACTAAATGTTATAAAAATTGAAGCATAGCAAGTAATACTATATGCTGCAAATCTAGGACAATAATTAAGGATGCATTTGAATCAAAAGAAACATAGCATTTGAAGCAGGCGATTTACATATGCTGTGATGGTAGGACCCCGAAATGGAAGCTGTGGTGTATTTCTCAAAGTTAACCAAATCAAAAGTTTGTTTTCTTCCAATACAGAATTTTTCTTAACAAATAAAAATTGTTTTCAACTTAATTAGCAAATGAAAAAAGTAGCAAAAGAAATGAAATGAGGGTTTTTTAGAAACGGAAATTTTTTTTAATAAATTCGATTAAGATAAACATTTTTCATTAATGAACTTAAAAAAGACAAAAAAGTAAACAAAAAGTTTCAGTACTGTAAACAAACAAGCAGTTTTGTGCTCTTCGTTTTGCTTTTCATTAGCCTGTGGACAATGTTATTATTGCTAGAGGAAAAGCTTACTTTTTGTAAAAGTCTGTGAACTGAGGCAATTTAATGGAACCAGTCAGCTTACCAGAAAATTGTATCTTTTCTTTCGTTCTTCGATTCAGTATTTTACACTGCTAGATTGCACCTATTCGATAATTCTACTTACATGTAGTCAGGCTAGATCTTGCATCAAACGTTAAATAAAGCGATTGAAAAATGGTAGCTTCATTAAGAAAATAAATGTAAACAAGCAAGTGACAGGCTCCTTCGCTTTTCTTCTATTCTCACTTGTGACTTTCTTCTTTGAATCACAGTTCACTTGCTGGAGTGACGAGCAAGCAAAAATCTTCAAATGAATGTGGTAACATTTCTATTTGGATTCAAAGAGCGCACGTAATTATGACTTTGTTCTATACCCATTCTCTTTCATTCCAGGACAGAGGGTTGCCTTAATTGTTAAAAGACTCCCCTTGTCCGTCTACCAAACAATTATCGTGGTCATGTATCTTAGACTCTTTCACCTCACTTTTTTCTCCATCTATGATTGGCTATAAAACAAACACTTTTTCCCTTCTTTCCTTTCTGTTTCTTAGCCATTTCAAATAGCAATTTATTCCTACCATCATTCCATTGAATTGTCGATTAGCCCCCGATACCAAACACATTTCTGAGTAAGCGTGTTTGAAAATTGTGTAATCTTTTCAACTGTGTGAGAAATTGTATGGTACGCCGTCCTCCTCAATAGTTGCTGTTGTTGTAGTCACACGTTGAAATATGCGATAGAAATTAGATTTGAATTGAATGAGACTAGAGAAGATATAGAATAAGAATGGATCGATATTGAAATCTAAACTATAATTTAGGTTATGATTGATCGTAGTTTTACAATCCTCTATTGGAATTAGAATTGGAGCCTAAACAGTAAATCAGTGTCTTTCTTATCTTGTATCTGTGGTACTGAACTTGAGTCATCAGCATATAGCAATTTCGCATAAACTGATAAACAGTGCAAAAGCTTTCTAAACGACCTATTTTTTCGTGAGATTAAGCTTACCATACGATTGCTGCTTTTCATAAGGTTGTTGTTTTACTGAAACTATTTGATATTATTTTGCTCAGATTCACCCCTTTACTTATCACTGACCGCCAAAAATGTTTGGTTAACGGCACATTCTCACTGGTTTGGATTTACTTTTGAACAAATTAAAAAAATGCGCATTTCTGGTGGTTTGAATTTTACCATATAAATATGCTCAATTGTGACCGTAGTTAGGAAATATCAATGTGTTTGAAATGACGCTAGGACCCAAAAATTGGCTAGTTGTGTCAAATTTAGACTTGTGAACAATTTTTTGCGGTACAGAACTTGAAGATGGCTTTGAAAAAGCAAACATTTCACAACATACAAGTAAAGTTTTTTCGTCTGACAATCGTCAGAATCTAAAATGTCAGCATAAGGATCAGAAAGAACACGATGGAAGTTATATATCAGTTGTGGATCGAAGTAGGCCAATCAGAAAGATGCAAGCACATGACCGGCATAGTTGTCCAATCAGTGCTGCATGCCTATAGAAAATTACCACGGGACTCCAAGGGAGAATACGAACTCCTTCTGTCTACACATTGGCGGCTTTTTCGTTTTTTTAGATTGCTTCCAAAGGTGCTAGATGAAAAGACCGTGCAAATTGTCCGAACCATGTTGTCATTAAAGAGTTTTGCACAATCTGGGTTGTCTAAAAGGTGTTATCCGAAGGCAGAGCTTCAAAGCTTTTCAAGTAGTATGTTGTGAAATGTTTGCTTTTTTCAAAGCATTTTTCAAATTTAGACCTCTCTAATCTAAAGGAAACCATCAAAGTTACCTGAATTCTTGGGGGAACCAGAGAGTCGACGAAACAGTTGACGATGGCCTTTGCTTTTCTTGTCACTATAAGCTCGTCATCTTTGGTGTAGTTTCCCAATTTGGCACAAAGGACAACGGCATCAGCGAATTCTTTGTATCTGGAAAGGAAAGAATAACATAGAATCTCGTTACACAGTAAATCGCTTTACTTTGTTACAGCATGTAAAACTGGATACTTACAAAGTGCGTCCAATTTGAATACTTACTAGCCTCAACATATAATATTTTCCTAAGTTGCTAATGGCATATACTGGTTACCAATGACAAATGTATAACTTTAATAAACAGTGCCGTCGGAAAGAAACTCAAATTGAGTGGGGGAGGGGGGCAGCTGCCTATTGTATTCCTTCTCATTCAGTACACTGTTATAGAAGAAAAAACATACTGCAGTTTGACAAATTTTACGCTGCACAGTTTCATGCAATCTTGAAGATTTGCGGTGTGAAAGGCTTATCAAAGACCTCTTTAATATTTGAAGAAGTAATAACGAGTGAGCTAGTGACATGACAGTATACTGAGCCCGCCACTGTGTGTTTTTGATCTACCAACTTAGCCACCCCTATCGCTAACTCGAAGAAATTGTTAGCGAGGAATAAGAGTTTCTTCCACTGCGGCACAAACATGTTTTGCAAAGTGTTACATTAGTGTTTCTTATACCAAATTAGAATTACTTTATCAAACAGTGCAAGGCAATATACCACTGTGAGATGTGCTTTTATTCTTATACAGTATGAGCAAAAAATAAATTATCGTTACGAAAAGAAAACATAATTGTCTAGATGGTTAAACTAGAGAAATGAAACGGCTGGAGACCCCCCCCCCCCTCTATAATTACCAAACTGCAGTATGTTCCATTTATAATGAAGAAAACAGTGGGTAGCCCCCCACCCCTCAATATGAATTTCGCTCCGACGGCACTGAAGATTAGTGAAAATCGCACATAAGACTCTGTTCTTGTCACTTCGATTTATCGGAATAATTCTTACATTTTCCTAAAGAACAAGGGTATGACCGAAGATCATTTATATTTTTCACTGTGAGCCATTCATTGTCAAAGCCATTGTGGCAATCAGTGAAATTCCCTTTTTTGGGGCAACTTCAGTGTATTATCAGAAAAAGGGCCTAATCATTTCTCTAATGTTAGAAAATGAAACAAATGCTGTACCTGTCGACTTCTATCCAGAATCGCAAATCATTAATAAGTTTCTCTGTAGAAACAAGTTTATTGCTGATCAGCACACGCTCCGGGCCCTCCTCTCCTTGCTCTTTGCCTCAAAAGAAAAAAGCAACTATCAGGCGAAGTTTTAGTAGATGGTAGCTTTCTACGTGCCATTAAAGAAAATACATTTTGAATACTTTTATAAAGGGATACAATGTAGCGGTGCTAAAGAATTAAGTAATTTGGATTGCTATGCATAATTTTTATTTTATTTTTCATTTTCAAATAATTTAAGGAGGGTAGTCCTTCAGCCAATGCTGGTTTACAAGGGGACCTCTATTTTATTTGCAATATTTCTATTAAAAACAAAGCTAATTCATAAAACTATCTAAAAGATATACAAAACAAAGTTAAATCGCAGTGCTTTATAATACGTATTCACCAAAATGCGGCACAAATTATTATACAAACTCTCAGTCGTGTATTTCGGAATTGCAAAAGTTATGCAAATGATTTTACTATAACCGTTAAGAGATGACTTGACTCTAATCAAAAGATCTGGTTTACCTCAAAGTAATCACCGATAAGCTGGATACTTAGCAAATATTAGCTCAACACTAGTGCAAATAAACGAACATATTAAGTATCAAGGTTAGACTTACTGCGTTTTACGTTCATTTTGTGTTCATATCGAAGAAAGCTCTGAAAATGCCTGAGAACTCGATGATTTGCAATCCCACGTCTGAAGCTCACAATGTTGCGCGCAAACATCTTCCACAAAGCTCGCTTCAAAAAGAAAACTCCTTATCAAACATCAGTTATCACAGAGGCATGAATAAACTGGCCTAAACTAAAAACAGTCCAAAGCAGCTTATATAATGATCATATCATGAGCAAAGAAAGGTTTAGTTGCGGTTCTTTCTGGCTATTTTTGCAGAAATACGACATTATCGTTAATTCGAGAAGAAATACCCGACTGCATCTGCATGGAGACTGCAAAAGTACGCCGTAAGAAGTATGCCACCTCGTTTCAAAGGAAGCTTTAACCAATGAGTCAGACTATGGCACTGGTTGAGAATTCAGAATGGCTTTCGTGATGGTTTTGAAATTGAAGTAGAATTTAGATGATGGTTATTTTAATTTTCAAGCTAACGGTCTTTAAAAGCTGTAACAATTGGCACAAGGCTATATCACCCCGTTAGTCTTGACTTTTAAAAACTAGAAAAGACAGCTAGAAAAGCCTCAGTTGTCCTTCTTTGATTTAGAAATATCGACTGCCTAACCAAACTTGCCTTTCTAGACCTACCATCTTTGTGCTTAAATTTTCAGAAGATAGTTTAATCTCTCTCTTTTTTATTTTCTTCTCGAACTTTAATTGTGTGCAGCTGCACCTATTTTACGCATTATCTAAGGTAAACGATTAATACAGGCATGCCTCACGTAAACTTCGTTTCTTGGTTCACCAGTAGCCTCCATGCGTATCATTTTTCTCTTGTTAATGCAGAGATGAATTACCATTATGAACTTTAAATTAAGACAGTTCTATGCAGAGGTCCTTAAGATCGCTCCATTTTGATCTAAGGAGAATTAGAAGCAGCTCTGCCGAGTTTGCTAAACTACGTAGCATTGATTTTAGTTTTAATCAAAGTCGTTGGTTTAACAATTTTGAGTCAAACTGCCCAGTAGCAGGAGAAATACTACAGTAAACTGACTTACATTTCTGTGCTTGATACTCTTGGATGCTGGCAACCCGGTGGTTGCCTTAGAACGGAAATGAGGCAATTTAGTAATGCCTGACAGTTCTTCATCCGCTGGGAATGTTGCAAGATATTGGACAAACCTTAAAAAGTTAGAAAGCATCAATGATGCGAGATTACTGAAATGTTTCTCATATACATTTAAAGTCATTTAAAAGAACACAACCAAATTAAAAATAGAAATAACAAAAGCAGAATTCGCCATTTGAAATTTTGTCTTCCTTAAATCACGAAGCTAATCTTCATTCTGTACACAAGTACAGCCAAAGAAAGACATTCAATAGGAAAATAGATATTGTGTAGAACCAAACCATTTCTCTTCCATGCTACGTGTCACACATGTCTGAGCAGAAACCAGCATAGCAGGAGTCACTTTGTCCATCTGCGGAAGATCTCGGACGATATCTGCCGTGCAATCCAAAGCTTTGCCTTGTCAAAAGAGAGAAAAATATCAACAATGGCAGTAGAGAAAAGATATGGTAAGGGGGTGTTGAGGAATTGTCTTACTCGCTGTCATCTTTCTTAGAGGCAATCTGTCTCGTTGTGGATTGGTTAACGAGAACAATAGCTGGAACAATAGCCTAAATACGATTCCAGCGCTCCGCCATATTTTTTACAATGCGATAAATTAAGGGGGACTGGAAACAATAAAAACCCCTTTGTTCTTGTAACCAATCAACGTCGTGAAAGATTGCCTTTAAGGTGCCTTGAATCGATATCGAAATCCATTACCTAAAAATTTCGCTTACAGCCTTGAAGACATTCCGTGTAGCTTGCAATTATAAGACAATGTTTCATAAAAGTGTTTAACATTTACAGCTTTACAATACTCAATTAGAAAGCTAACTATAATTAAACAAATCATATAATAATTATAGCCATTCTAATAGCCATACCCATCTTTAACTTAGGTATATACGTTTCGTCTAGGGTATTTCTTACTTAATTGCAAAGATGTGAATATCTAATTTGGAGAAAGATGAAAAATTCAAGAAAATCAGCTAAGTACTGTAGCTCCAGCTCTAACCATAAACTTACCGTAATTAGTACCTGGGCCAAAGAACCTCTTAACAATGCCATTTGCTCGGTGTTGCCTTTGTTTAGCTTCCTTCGTGTTGATTCTCATTGATTCTACTGATTGCCAGAACAGCATTGGTATTTCGCTGTCAGACTTGGCCAAGAACTTTTTGAAAGCCTCAAGTTGCGCAGGGTCATGAAGAATTTCTTGGAATGACCTAAATGATAGATATAGACAGTATTCCAACTAGGATATCGATATATTTTCTATTGCTAAACAAAAGGATTAGAACAAAAGCAAAAAAGACATGGAGTTAAAGACAGGTTTCTGATCTGATATGAAACCTTTTAGAAACAGCTTGTCTTAACAATGTTCTTTTTTGAAAGATTTTGACAAGTGCACCAACTATTTTGAAAGTTCTCGAAGCAGTGCGTTACAAAAGCATTCAAATAAAAATCTTATACATTCTACATTGCTACATTCTGCAATCTACCAAAAGGGACATGACATATGTATTAGTGCACTTGCTGCTTTACAGCTTCATGAAAGTGTGCTAAGCGGTATCGCACATCTAATAAGTCGGTCAAAATATTCAACATATTAATTAAAGGTTGTCGAAGTACCAAAGTCAAAACCTTACAAATTCTTCATTTGCAACTCAAGGATTACTTGATTTTGCAGCTCAGGTTTCATTGAATCAAGCACTTAAACTATTCTTCAGTATGTCCTAATTTCCTTTGCTTGAAAAATTTAGAAAGCTGAATTTTTCTTTTTCCAAAAAAGTGACATAAAATGAATTCAGAGACTGAGGCTAAACTTGCACCAACCCGGGAAATTCGACAAAAACTTGACTACAAACAAATTACCTCGGTCTTGGCAGCCTCGGTTTATTGTCATGTAAATGCTTTTTACCAAGCTCCTTTGTTATTGTAGTCATGTGTCTGTTATCAGTTTGTTTTGATCCCATGTTTCCAAGTAATAGATTTTGTTGGTAAAAATAATAGGCCATAGCACTCTGATATGGGTTTGATTTTCTGTAATCTTCTAAAGCTTGCGCTGCCTGTTTGTTTAGAATACGTAGACGACGTTCTTGTAAACTGCTCTCGAATTTTTCCTCATCGCCATCATCAACATCTTCGTATCCTTCGAGTAACGGCTTGGCTGTTTCTGAAACGATCAATATACATTCCATCTAAGAATTAGTAATTGAAATGAGCAAATGATGTCAGTGTATCATTGTGTATGCATCGAAACTGCTTTTTCCAATCAATCTTGTAACCAGAAATTCGAAAATGAAAGAAAAAGAAAAAGGTCTTGCTACAATCGCCTTGAATGCCTTGCCCAGCGACTTGCTAGGTACCTCCAAAGAGCTTGCAAACTACTCTTTAACGCTAAGCATTAAAAAGTAATTGCAGTTCAAAATATAGTAACTCTCAAAATATAGTCATAGTGACTAGCGTTTGCTTCTGACCAACATCAGTTCTTTTACTTGCCATGTCTCATTTAATTAGCAGCTCTATAGCAATCTTCAAGTAAGGCGGTCAAGAATTCTAAAAATATGCTTTTGATGAAATCACAGTTTGGTACTCTTCATTTGTGTTCAGCTTTGCTTGTTTTTTTGCATGTGCAATGTCTAGCTTTCTTCTTAGTCTAATTTAATCCATGTGCTTCTCTCTATTAGTACTCTTTCGTAAAATATCCTATGTTTCTAGATAAATTTCAATATTCACAAACATATTACGACAAACAGTTCTGCATCGTACTTCATTGAGCATTTTATTGTTTGTTAAAATTTTGAAAAGAGACAACTTGATAGCAATTTAAACAACCCCAAAATTTCACCTTTCAAAATCCCATCAGCTTCTTTTTCTCCCTCTCTTTCTCTACCTCTCAAGGAATGACGTAATATTGGGATAGTAATACTCACGTGGTACAGATATTGAAATAGCAAGCTGTAAAGCATTCCACATGTGCTTTGCAGGGACTTTTTCTCTCACTTTTCTTCTCCGGGTGCTGTATTCACCACCAAAGGTAACAGATACTTTTCTTGAATCTTTGCCAAATATTTTTTGAGCACTAGAGATTCTGTAGCTCTTAAGTGGAACAAGAAAAGGAAACATAAATACTTTATCTTTGCATATCAAGTCATATCATTTCAGATTTTTTTTTCAAATTATGCAAAATTTTCACTTGTTTAAGAATTATTTCTCTTATAAATAGGAAAATCAAATCATTAAAATGATTATTTTAATTCATTATCAGTATTGTCATCAGTAGAGTTAAAACACAAGATTGCGACTCGAAATTGTCTTGTTCCATACAACAAAACATGTGCAGCTCTTCTCAAGGCTAATTGTGTTCTCGACGCATGGAGCACTGTTGAACCGAGAATACTAGATAATTATCCATGCATATATTGTACAGCGCCCACAATTGCACATTCAACAGAGCTCATTTGTGCCATCAAACATGAATCGTAATTCATAGATCGTTAAGACATAAGATGTTGAATGTTTCTGATGTTTTTAAGCCAGAAGTTCAATTTTTCAGATGTTTTCAGGCAACATATTGGACACTGCACAAATAAAATATCGATATTGCAGCACTACATCAATCACGGATAAAATTTTACTAGCATTGAAATTCCTATCATTTTTTCATGCTTGCATAGAAAATCTATCGCTTTAGAACCTGTAGCATAAATTGCTTTTATCTGATTTAAATCCATTTTGATACTTAAACTTCAACAAGCTTCTTCATCTAAAAAAATTAGTTCTACTCCTAAGACATCAGGCAATAGCATAATTGCTTATTTGTAATTTGTAAAATTGAAATATGGTCATCAAAATAAAAAGAGAGACGGCCAAGGAATAGTTCGGGGTAACACGATTTCTAAGTAGGTAAAGAAACCGTGTCTGTCCTATTGAAAGTGTTTAATAAGCAAACAATGGTATCATACCACAATTTCAGCAAACTTCTCATCGTCGAGGTCTAAGAACTCTAGCCAGAATGGCATCAGAGCCTGAAACAAACAAGATTGACAGTCAAAATAAATCATACCTTTCTCATTCATATTTGTAACAAGTTCTTCTGGTACAAAATTTAGAAACAGCTTTGGAAAAAGCAGACGTTTCTGCAGGTAAGCATCACTGTATAGTCAGTCATCTGCATGCTGGCATTCTTGATTTTTCTGTTTTGATTCGCACAACTAGGCAAACATATTTTATAGCATAGAGTTCTCGATCAATATTCTGACGTTCTACACTTTGAAAAGCTCAAGACAAACGTTCGCTTTTTTCAAATACGTTTTTAAATACATATTTCAAAAGTCATAGTTTATACAAGTTTGTTGGCAGTTGATTTTGCTCTAGCAGCAATCACTTGACAGGATTGATCTAGAGGATGGGTCTATGTTGTCTCATACGAAGTGTGCTGCCACGTAATCTGGTTGATAATATGCGATTTCATATTTCTCTAAAAGTTTAATCATACATCTTCTATTATTTCTGTGCCTATCACACAGATGAGAGGGCAAAAACTGTCTTGCTAGCCTCTCTTTCTTCTTTCTACATACATGACCTAGCAATCTGAGGTTGCTGTCAATCAGAATGTCGTACATACAACGCTATTGATGTAATTATGCAGCTTTTTGTGATAAAGTGGCTGAGATATGGTCACATGAGGCTCTGTCCCTTTGGTCTTTGTCTCACAATGTCGAAATCAGGACATATCTAAGGCATTTGGCAAGATATTTGACTGATGTTGCATATTCAGAGGTAGAAAGATAGATTGATGCGATGCCACCATTAAGGTACTCTTTAAAATTTAATATCATTTCTCTGGTACATTGAATACGGTAAACGGCGTCTTAGATGCGGGAAAATTGGTACTTGTCCTGACATCAATATGTTTGCAGTTGACATGGCGCAAAGGTTATTTTTGCCTGATTTTAATAAAATCACGAATCATTGAATGGTAACCAAACTAGCACTGAATCAAATCTAGATACTTGCAATTTTAATAAAAAAAAACCTAACCGAAATAGTCTCAATTTTATCTTAAAGTGAAGACGTCACCAAAAATTTTTTTTAGAACTTTCCGATTTTGACCATAGTGCCCGAAAAAGCATCATGAAGTATACCTTGAAATGTACAAATTCAGTTGAATGTTCAGAGATATGGCCACATAAGCACAGGCTCTTTACTCATCAAACCGCGTTGTAGTTTAGTCTTGGTTTGTAACTTTATGAACCAGGTCAGAATAATAGTAATCCGTTGAAATCTTTGATCGGTCATATCTCACCCGATTTTGAACATTTTTTACTGAACTTGCATTCTAAGAGTTTTTTTGCCATTCTTTCAGATTATGTAAACAAAATTCATAAATTTTAAAAATAGATTTTTGATGACGTCACACTTTCCTTATCTGAATAAATCAGTAATGTGAGCAACAAAGAATGAAAACCCAGTTTAGAAAGGGTTCTATGATTGGCCAGATTCCAGCCCAACGCACCTTAGCACACTGCCAGCAAGCTGCATTAAGGACTGTGTATCCCAAATCGTTCGGTAGCAGTTCACAAATTTTTGTTTCAATATCGCGACCGAGACATGTCTTTCTAGGGCTGTCTCCAAGCAGATAAATGTGTATAAGAGCACGTGCTTGCCTCCTTCGCGTCAATGTATCCATATGGACAAGACTTGAGAGAAATCCCTGCGCAGCGGCCCAGAATCGTATATTTGCAAACGCTTTTTCCTTGCTTAGCAGCCGAATGTAGTCGCAAAATGGTTGCCCTGCGAGTTGATCGGCTGCAAGGGCAGTCCATAGGTGCTCCAGGTTTTCGTCAACTGTGAAGAAAGATTTATATGAAAATGCAAGCATTTCAAAAGGTTTTTACCATGCTAATAATTCTGACATTAACAGAGAGACGCAACGCTTTCTTTTATCAAAGGAAAGTTGATGACGCAGATGGCAGGAAATTTTCGGGAGATGACTACAAGAGGTTCCAGAAAACTGTACATCTTCGTTGCAATCTCGCATACATTTTGTTCCAACTACATTGTTTCGTTTCCAAATTTCAAGATGTTTTTATAGATTTCTTTTGTAAAAGTGAATGGCCTCTTTTGACGAGCAAATGTTGTCGTCATGTTAGCGCTAGTTATAATGTCAAATGTACATTCAGACAAGAAAATATGGCCATGACTTGAAGATTTTAGAAAACACATCAAGAAAATGTTCATTTAAGACTAATAAACAATCGTTTGCTTAGGAATGACAGACAAAAGATACTATCATGGTACAAAACGTTTATTTTCAATAGTCTTTCAACATTTCCTTCCAGATACATGATCCTTACCTAAAATTAGCAGTTACATCATAGACTCTACGGGACTGTTTGTAAAATGAAAATATAGTGGCAATGAAACCTTTATCTAGGTAAAACTCCTCTTACTTTTATTAGGCCATTGGGAGCCATAGTCAACAAATCCATTTGGAAAAGCGAACTGAGTTTCCACGTCGACAAAGGAGCTGCCGCGTATACTGTTTGTCAATGCAAGGGCTCTTGACAGGGAAACATCTCTGAGTTTGGCACAAACAGCTGCAAGTTGGTTGCCTTAAACAAATAGGAACATGAAATTTCAAGGCGTGCTTTTGAATATGGATTTCAGTAAATTTACTAGCAATATCTAAAAAAGCTGAATTTCCTTTAGACCAGAAATGTATCGCACAGCTTTCAAATCGGTGAAATAGAAAGATGCCCCAAGGAAAAAGTTACAAGCAAGCAAAAAATGAGAGTCAGTTAGTGTCTTTTGAAACAAATACCACAAAAAAATTTCATATCTAATAAGAGACTTGGGGAAACACAGATAGAGTGCCACATACACGACTCGTACTTTGAGTCAACAATAACGAGTCTGCAATGTAATGAAATTGATTTTTTATTTTGCAAACCAAAAAGTAATATAACTTACAATTTCTTGTTAAATTTGAAGCATTTGGTAATTTCGATTCAATTTTTGTGGCTGAAACGAGACTAAGGCTTGCATGTAACTGAGGCAGTCTGAGAGAAACGTGACTTGCATGTGACTGTCTTTGGGAGTACCCTTCACTGCTCTCCTCGTCTTCCAATGTGATAACTGTATCAGGAGTAAACATTTCCTGTAGAATAAAGATAAATTTCAAATTTCTATTATTCCAAATATCGTTAGTTTTATAAAATGCTTCACTCAAATGCAACATGCCTAATATTCTATAATTCCAAGAGGGAAGAGTTAGAGGAGGGCAATGTATTCCTCACAGCTAAGCTACAATCTTTCCGTGTGGTGTAATTTAAAGTAACTTCCTTGTTCTTCTTAAACTGAGATATAGATTTTAGCTGATAAGATTTCATAAGTTACACAATTTCAACTGCTTCAACAAGTTGCTTCAACAAAAGGACATTAAAATTTCTTTACTTAATTTGTATTAATCTACATAAAAGGAGTGTAGTATGATGTAAACATAGCAACATCTTATGGAAGGGTGCCTAGATAACTTGCCCCTAGGTACTATAACCCCAGCTTATATAAAAGGATTTTAAACAGTCAAAAGGAGACCAAAAGACTAAGAGCTAGATGCCAAACTTTCATTAATTTGTCAATGTCTAAAGAAAATATGAGACACAACTGAACTTTATAATCGCAGTTTTTCTAATCATTATTTCAAAAACAAGGAGTGGAATTGTTTTGTACTGTATCCAAAAATTTATTATTTTACAAGGCCAACTTGAGCTTTTGCAATAGAGAAATAACTGGCAAACATTTATTCCATACTTCGAAGAGATTTTTTTATAATTCTAAATAATTAGCTACAGCAACAAGACACCGATTTTATTTGCATCAATGGAAGGATCTTTTTCGAAAAAATGCAAAAGTTTTATCTTCGGGCCAATCAGAGGATGAAATCGGGGGTTAAACTAGGTTGAAATCAAAGAGGCAAGTGAAAGAGAAATTGAGGGTAGAATCGAGGTTTTAATCGACACGGACGAGCTGAGAGAATGCTTTACAGCTTACAAAATATAAACATATCGGTAAAAAGTCTTGATTACCATTATGATAATACAATGAATATTATTTCTTTGTTCTTAGATTTTGCAACACATAGCGCTTGGCTAATTAGCTCAATAATAAATATCAGCACTCAATGTTGCAGAGATTCCTTTTGCTTGTTCTCGTACTTACATTTCTGTCAGCCAATTCTGATTCTCTTTCGCTAAGAACGCTATTTCCATGCAGTGAGTTCCCTCTGCTGAATACATCGTTCATGCTTGATTTTTCAGATGGGAATTGCAGTTCTGGTTCTTGAGACGTTGCACAAGCTGTTGACGGGATGTTGGCAGTGTTACAAATGAAGTGAAGCCTTAGGATACATATGTATCAAAGCAACAGGTCGTACCATTATACAAAGTACTAATTGCTTTTATAAATTTACGCAAAGTACTAAAAATGTATCAACACACAAGCACAGCAGAGGTGTGAAGCAGTTTAGTACATAGCATTCATAATATATTGGTACAAAATAGCTCCATGGGCTGACAATATTGGATAGAGTTCTTAAGCTTCATGTCGAAAGATAATTTATATCTAGAATTTTTTAATTTTTTAAAGCCTGTGCTCATATGGCCATATCTTAACCAATTCGTTACATATTTAACTGGTTTTGCATATTCATCAGTAGTTTATGGTGCTCTTTCAGGCTATGAGATCCAAATTCCACCAAAATTCTGTGTCTTTATTACTTAATAACTCGTTTAAAAGAGGGGTAATTTAGAACTGACTTGGAATCAAAAATGTTTTGACCTGGGTTTACAGCGAAACCGGTGCCTTTCAAAATTCCCCACCTTGTCAAGCTAGCTAAACACCGAAAAGGAACTGTTCCAAAAAGAGTTCTTCTGTTGACGGCCGGAACCTCACCATGTGAGTACCATCAGGAAATTGAGAAAAATTTCTAGCTTCATTAGTCTAGGAATTGTAGCAAAATTGATTTGAATATGATTCTGTACAGAGTCTTCTTAAAAAGGCCACGGTTTCATGGAGCAAAGGTTATTAGCTTACACATGTTTTGAGTGGAGACAACTAACAAATGATGTCTTCCTGAAGTCACAAGGGTCTCGCATGGCTCAAAAATCTATGTAAACAGATACCCTTTGGGGGAAGCTCTGAGCATCGTACAATCAGGTTTCAATAGATTTTGAATCACTTTATAACCTCTTTATTTGTATACTTCGTTGAATACGTAACGGTCAATTTTACACTCATAATTTAGATTGTCATTGAAATTCAGACTTTTTGAGCATTTTATTTTGCTAACTGATCTGCGACAGATGTAATGTAGATGATAAAAGAATCAAAGAATGTTTCTCAAAAACGAAGACTCACTGCACGGGAATGATGATGGCAGTTGATCGTTTAGCTATAACTATTTTCATACAACAAGCTTGATAAAAACGATCATATTAAAATAGTGTGACAGCATAATATCGTAAGGACTTATGTTTTAATGCCAAGCATGACAAATAGACTACAAATGTTAAGTTCATTTGAACATACGGATCTACTTTATCCAAACAACATACTTACAAACGTCATCTGCTTGAATTCCAGGTGATTTAGCCATCGTAGCCTTGATGCTACTCAATAATTCGTTGAACTGTGTCTTAACACCAAAGTCCCCAGTTGTCTGCAAAGCTGCTCTCCACTTTCTCTTAAATTTCTGCCTTTTGTGGCTACGATGTGAAAGGTACTTCGGGAGCCAATATGACGTCAGACAGGACAAGGCCATATCTTGACAAGGTGTCAGCAAATCACCATTAACGGACGCGGTAGCTTCCTCGTGAGATCCATCAACCAAATGGTCCAGGCATGAAGCAAACTTGGTTTTGATGCTTTCCTGAAGCTCCAGCCATGCACCCTGTCGTATATATTTATCTTGGATTTCTCTAATGAGAAATCGTCTGCATTCAGAGGTGGTTTGCCGGCGAAACCTTTCAGCCGCCAGCCAGAAGGACATAAGACATTCGCCAGCAGATTCGTGGAAGAACGCCTTCAGTCGCTGCATAGAGAGAACATTTCCAATCTCCCTATGCAAATCTAAAGAGTACTTGTCTAGAAAATAAAAATTATTTATATCATAATGTGGATCGTTATCAGCAATAATGTAAGGAATGTAAAAATGTTACATATAGTAGAGTCCACATAGTTTCAGACGTGATGAAAATTCTATTTCTTACAGTTTTTGACTTAACGCCACATTACCTAAAAGAACACCATGAAATAACTTATGGAAACGTGGAAAATCAGTTACTTGCGTTTATCATTAGGTGTGATGTGACAAAATAAAAATTTGGAGCTTGCTAACGGATTACTGTTATTTTGGCTTGGTTCATACAGCTAGAGCCTGTGCTTATGTGTCCAATTTTTAGCCTATTTAGCTGATTATACACATTTAGAGGAATTCTATGATGCTCTTTCAGGTTACATGATCTAAATTCAAAAATTCTTAAAATGGATTACTGTGACGTCATCACCATATAGTTCTACATAATCCGAATCTGCAAATAGGAAAGTTTGAGGAGATGTGTTCTGCAGTAAGCATACATCTGATAGGAATCCTTTGCACACAGGAATCCATAAAAACAACATCAAAACAGCAATGCCTGCCTACCAAAATGATCGATAAAACAATAATAAGAAGATACCAAGCGCCAATATACAAATATTTTCTTCGTGAAAATTATTGTTTACGGCTCGGTCACATAGTGTTCAATGCAGTTTACACATTGCTTTACACGAAAGGTACCTGACTTTATTTTTTTTTGTTGAATAATTTTTAACTCGTAAATTATTATAATGAAAATGGCTTTGAATAAGGGCAATTCAACTGGCAATTCTTTCCGACTAAAAAGTGTATCAAAGAGTACCTGGGTTACAGGAGAAGTAAGAAAAATCATGAATTAAATTAAAGGTTGCAGGACGGTAATTAGTAGCCTGTGCCCCAGTCCACAAATGCTGCCGCAGTTGCAACTCCGAGTTTCACCTCTAATGCGATCATCAGGTTTCTTTGTGTACAGCTCTGCTCTTAGGGTGTCAAGCACTACACGAGGGACCATTAGACAGTAAATTTGAAAGCTGATATTAAATTTTGCTTATAAATGCAGCAAGATTTGGTTTACAACAGTTTGAGACAAGCAAGAAGGGTGGTTGATATCTTAAGACTTAGCGACAGGGCTATTCCATACCTCATAACCTTTAGATACAATCAAGTTATGTCCCGTTTAAGTTTGAGCAAAGTTAGTTTCTAATAAAACTTTCAGAGGAGCACAATGCATTATCCGTTTAGTTCAAGGTTGTCAGATGTCGCTTCACTGAAAGATTTATAAGCAGCTCAACTTGCCTAAAGTTCAATTTTTAAGCAAGCGACAAAAGATATCATTGAACCAACACGAATGAGATGCGCGCAAATATCACGATTAAGTGCTTTATTGTACAATAATTTGCTGTAGTTTAAAGAGAATAATTTCACGTAGAATTCGAGGTGACAAAGCTTACATTACTTTTTGGAATTTACCCGGCTGATGCCTTTTATTCTTAAACCTTTTTCACATCAAGGGTTTGCCCAGTGGGTTTCTTAAGCCACTCAGACTTTGCGCGAAGAACAAGGTTAGATATTATCTAACAGGGACGGGTTTACCTGGGGGTGTAGGGGTGCGACACCCCAAAATGTATTTGTGACATTCGGTAATGTTTGCCTTGATTTAGTAAAAACATTTTTTGATGGTCAATAGTAACGAAATAATGCAAAACTTTACTTTATCTTTTTATCTTCTTTATATTGAAGTTAAAAGCTTAACTTTGTAAATGGGCGTCTCCATAATTCTCCTGTCACTTGAAGGGTGTAGCACCAAATCTAATCATTATTTAACACCCTCCCCCCAATCCTTGTCACTTAGATCTGTCCCTGCTGTCAAATCAGTTATCTTGCAAACTAAAGTCTTACCATCTGCATTTGCCTTGAGCAATTCATTCAGCAAAAGTTTGCACAACCGATACTCATTACATATGTCGGTTTTGAGGAACAAAGTCCCTCGCTGTTTCCAAGCAAAGGCTATGACATCATGTTGGGAGCAATGCTAAAAAGATAATTCTAAATTATAAATTCTCCCTTAAAATTTCCCTCAAATCCACATTAAAGAATCACTGACTGTATTCTCAATACTAACTTTTTGCTCATAAAGTTTTTTCTTGAGAAGATTTTATCAAGCAATCTATGCACAATAGATGGAGATTTCAGGACAGGAGGGCTCCTTTCTTCAGGCCCGCAGACACTGGGGGCAGAGAGCAATGCCCCCAAGTAATTTGCGAAAATTATGTTTGAAGATCTCATAAGCAGCTTGATCTGACAGTATTTCGTAAGGCAGGTATAAAAAAGCTATATTTCTATCCATATTTCTATCCAGTTTAGCTATCTACGGGCCTGTCTTTCTTGAAAGTCATTCTAATATGTACATATTTTTTCCTTTGTACTTTATTTTTATTGTAAAATTTACATGATTTGGTGTAATTCGATTTTTGTTGGTAATTTTTATGTTCAAGAATATAAAGAATGAACTGAAATGAAATGGATTGGATTGAGCTAAACTGAACTCAACTGAAATGGTGAATGAATGAGTGTGCATCATTGATACAATATTAGGCAATAAAAGATATTTACCGACTGCCAACGTTGGGCAATATATGGATCAATTCGGATCAACGGTATGATCAAATATTCGACTTATGTTATTTAATTCACTACACAAACCAACATATCAGGTTCTGATACAAAGAAACTCAGCAATTTTAGCATGAAGAAAAATACGAGTGTCATGTGCAAAAAGGGTTGATGTGAGATCAGATTGAAACTTGAAACTAAATTCAATGTTTGCAGAAAACTGATACAAAACGTATTATGTTAGTTGGCATTTTGACAAGCTGCACTGGAATGGAACTGTACACTATCCCATGTAGCTTATATCCTTGCGTAGATATTATGAAAAATCAGAGCTGCTTTTAAATCTTTATTCCAATTCACTTTGGTTATGCTAGCAAAATGCAAAAATTATTCTTCTGTTTTGTTGTAAAGATGTTTTTCCGTAACGGCCGAAGCTAGATATGTCCATACGAGTCCATACAATTCTTTGGAGTCCATACGATTCCATACATTTATTTTACAGTGTTAACGTATTTTACATTAATGTTACTGAAGTAATTTGATTTGAATTTAAATCATTCTGAAGTGGATTCAACTTAACTTTGTAAAAAAAAAAATTTCGAATCTTGATAAAGATTATCAAACCCCTGTAGACAAACAATGGAAGACAATTTTTATTCCCTTTGATTCACAAAAAAATTAAAGAAAATTGTCACGCTGAATATTGCTTATTCAAAGTCTAATGAAATAAAATGACAGCAACGGTTTTCGATACAGGATAATCTTTACGAAGTTTGGACAATGGGCAAAGTTTTAGTTGTAACATTTAATACTTTTTTCAAATTCGTATTTTTTACCTCAAATTTTTTCCATCTTACTGCTAAATGTTGTGGGTTCCAATCAAAATTCGAGCCGCTATTCAAACGCTCACCGATTGTTACCCGGTAGCGGTGGCACTCCAAGGAGCCATACCGCAGAGTCAAGAAAAATCACGGCCCCACGGCCACTGGCCGGAGGAAGGTGACCAAAAATTTGGAAATTGGAGGGAGTTGAAAAATCGTAGTACCTTTTGGTTTTCAAGATACAGTCAGACAAAAATTAAAAAAACAAATGATATTTATAAACCTTCTGGTTTTTTAAGATGAATGTGTTTGCAGAACTGCTTTGCACTAAAACTTAGAATTTAACTCTTTATGGGCGTAGAAAGGATTTTGACACTCTTGTGTTATCAATTGATATAAGCATGTAGTTTAAGCATGTTCGTATAATTGAAAACAAGCTAAAAAAAATTCAAATATTGTTTAGAAAAACAGAGTTGCAAGGAGAGGGGATGTAGACTAATTGAGTATCTCCAAAATCCTTTCTACGCCCATTTTAATCAATGTGAAATATGGAAGATTTTGTAGTAAAATAGTAAGTCTTGACGGAAAAAGGTTGACAACTTTTCTGCAGCCTGCCATACGGCATTGAGAAAATGATTCGACCGCCCTGCTTCTATTCGCTGTTGGACCAGGACAAGTGCACTCTTCAACAGGCATTTGTCTTACGTACAGATCGTTCATGGAACACATTTTTACTGTTGTGCGATACAATGTCAAGGAAAGACATGGAAACGAGAATAGCGCATAATGGGCAATCGGAATGCCAAGGTAACGAATAATGGTAACTGCAATTTTATTTTTGTTCTTATGAAAATGTAAATCATATAGCTTACCCTAGGTAGGTATTTTATGCAATGTAAATCTAAGTTTTCAAAGAAATAGTGAAGACATACATTACATGTGTGGCCTGATGGCACATCCATTTCAAACATGCAAGAATCCCTCCGATAATGAAGCCTCTTAGCAAAGACCTAGAAAAGAGATAAAATGGTAATTATAAGATAAAGACGTAAGAAAACGTATAACTAGGTCTTCAGTATCAGCATCAGTAGCAGTACTAGTATATATAATATCAGGGTAGATTGATATAGCTTCTTTTATGAGACGAGATATATGTCACTACTAGAGCTGGGTTTCTCTAATCGGCTGCTGCTATAACCAATGCCCCATAAAGGTTTCTGCTAGGAAAAGAAGAGTTTAAAGTAAAATGTATCTATCATATTCGAAGATGATCTTTATAGGAAAAGCAATGCAGCTTCCCCCTTTTATTTAAATTGGAATCAAGACATAGAAAGCTGCATATTTAAGACTTCTTGTATACATATATTTTACATTTTACTGCATATCTGAGCATTATAGATCCAAATAATTTATTCGCAGCTCAATTTTGACTAATACAATAGCAGAAAATTAGCATTTTCTACCGCCAAGGAAATAAGGCCTGCATTAATCAAGCAATAGTTCAGACAAGCGTGAAAGATTCCGATGAACTATGACCAAAGGTAGTGTTTAAAAATAAAAATGTGTCATACGAGAAACGAAAAAACTGAATAGCAAAAGATAGAAAAATCTCGAGGCTGAGAAAATGTAGAAATGATGAGTAATCTCGTGAAGATCGTACACTTTGAACATTACTTCAAGCCTCTCGATCAATTTTTTTTGCCATCGGAGATCGTTTTAATTCCAAATTATGAGGTTGATAACATTAAAATAATTATTTACATTTAGTTAAGCTGAAAGGTACAACTTACAGGCAACGACAGGAAAGTATTAAAGTAGTCAATGAAGACTTCATCTTCAAGCAAATTTTTGAATCCTTGCTCTGACGAAAAGCCTGCAAGACAATATTAAGACAATACTTGAATGTCATAAACACACCCTGAATCACGTGTTTAAAATTATTGTGGCCTAGCCCAGTAGCTTCATGACTATGCATCATGAATACCTATTAATAAAAAAGATGTAGGGGAAATGAATTCGAGTCTACTCTTTTGCTCTGAAGACTGTCATCTCTGTTTCTCAACATCACAGTGGCATAGAAAGTCAAAAAGTCATTCTATTAAAATCAAATACATGATTGATATCAACCTTCTTTCATCTAGATGAAATAATAAAACCCTTCGATTAACCTCCCCTTTTCGCAGTTGGATTCTCGGTGGAACGGTCTCTGTTGTCCATCTTTGACACCACCTTGGACAAGAGCAAGCTTCAAAGGGGCAAATGAGTAATTGCTCTTACATTTTTATCGTGATTTTTTACAAATTCTACCCATATTTCTTTGGCAAATTTTAGTTTTTTTGCATCCCTTTACGGAGGCAGAGTCACAATCAACCTGCATCCATAAACTTTTGCAAAGACTTCCCTCCCCCTGTCAGATTCGTTTGCATTTTTAAAGCTTCGCTTTATGGATTCCTAAAACTAATCGCTGAATGGTAAAAGCCAACACAATGATACAAGGGTAGGTAACTTAGCTAAATCTTTGCTGAAGACGAAACAGGTGCACAACTGATCCAAGTTATTTGAACACTTATTTGAGCTTGTCGATCTATGCCACCATCATTTTGTTTTGCTAAGTATCAACATTATTACTTTACCGAGCTGAATTTGAATTTGACCTGAATTTGATGCAAAAATATGTGAAGATATATCATAAAGAATCGCATACTTTGATGAAATGAATATAAAAAGCCACAATCTGGCAACGTTATTGTATTGAACGCAACGTGTTTCCTCTTAAAACTCAATGCAAGCAAGTCATAAAATTCAAAGTGATAGCTAAAGAACATTGATACCAACCATCTACAACATAATCTATCTCCGCAATGCTTGTTTGATTTTCGTCTTCCATCTTGTGCCAAAAACGCTTCTTTGGTCTTCGGCCTTCTCGTGCAAAATCAAGAAATCCATGCTTGTATTTCATTGTGACGTCACATCAATTCATCTGACGACTGTATACAAACAACAACAGGGCTATGGCAGCATTTAGCGAATGATATTCAGAGCAGCTTACTTCCATATCTAGCTTTTCTCTCTGAAGATGAACGCAAGATAATGCGACAGATTTGTGAACGAGATATTTCAAAATGTCCTGTGGCGAATCGACTTATTACTTGAAAACTGCAAAAGATGTAAAATGAATCACGACCAGGCCGCAAGGATTAAAGTACCTAAAACATGCTTAATTGAAGGTGAGAAGTCGCGTCTTTGAAGGCAATCAGATCACAACAGTTAAGGAAAACGTACCTGGTTGTCCGAAACGCGAGGTTTGTATAGCAATAAGAGTAATGCTTTTATCATAAACACTGCAATCATTATCTTATATTCGCAATAAACTGTATTTAGTAAAAAGAGAGGATCTAACAAACACAACTTCATAAAATGGGTTTGCGTAAGGTTCACAAGCTATTGAAGTAATGGACTAACTGATTCACCAGTAGATGCTTTAAAATTCTTCTTCATTTCAGTTATATTTGCCTTCTTATAATAAATTCGAGTGACGTCACAGATCATTTCGTTTGGGTTCTAACACCAAATAACGAAATTTGCTGTGTCAAAAGTAAATCAAGATTTGGGATTCAAAAACATACACAATGTCAAGCGAATCATTTCAATGAGGTGTAAATGATAATGAAAGATGTTATCTGTTCTTTACTTAAAAACTGTACACGAATGATTTTAAAGAATAGATAAATAATTAATGTTGAGTGATACGGTAACTGTAGTTTGATGCAGCTTCACAAACTTTTTTCGAACCTTAACTGCATTGCTCATTCCTCTTGATCAAGGCGAGCAAACCGAAAAATCGAGCAAATCTTCTATCTATGATCAACATGAAACGTCCTTGAAGAAAAAGATTGTTATTGCGTTCCGAGCTTTTATATAGTTGTCGCGAAAAAAAATTCGCAGGCTGCCTCGATGAAACCTCTGTCATAGAAAGCTGCAAGCTGCCTCGATGACGACTTTGCTCGCATTTCATTAAAATCTGATTCATCATCTTTGCAAACAGCCCTGGGTACCTTTCCGTGTATTGTTTTCCTGTTAAGGCCCCTGTCGGTGATCCTTAAGACTATAGAGAAATAGCTGAACTGAGATTAATAGAGCCCATTATCATCTTTGGTACATATTCATTCACATAAACAGCAAGGAGCATTTAATTGCCTTTCACGAGAAACCCCTCAATTTCCTTTTTGAAGTTTAGTTTCTTATCAATGGTAATCCCCAATAGATTTTCGCTGATAATTTCTTGATAAAAGCTTCACTAACTCTGATAGCCAGACTTGATTTCCAAAATTACATGACATGACATTGTCCGTGTTCAGAAGAATGCAAACAGTTGGATGTGAACCAACTCGAGATCGTGGCACTATCTGCTTCTAATCTCTTTATCAAAATACCACGGTCTTTTTCGCAAAGAAAGATTGTGGAATTGTCAGGAAAATTAGAGAAACTGGAGTTTTCAAGCGTTTTAAATAACTTAAACAACAGAGGTTCTAGACCAGATCCCTGTGGTACGTGCACGGCTACATCTTTACATGAACTGCCGTTTACTTTCAACATCTACTTTCTTCCAGATGATCAATAATCATTAAATAGTTTTAGAGCTCCGTTTCCCAGAAATTAAGCACAAAGTTTTGCAATGAACAGCTGGTATGTTACGTAATCATGCTTTGGTGTAAAAACAGTGAAAGTGAGACCATATACCATTTTAGACTGTTTTGAAATTTCTTTTAAACATTGCATGGTTATTGTTCTATTCGTCCGTAAAGCCACAAATAAGAAATAAATTCAAAGTGATAAAATGATTGATCTTATGTTAGATTTTCAAATAAAATTGAAATGGTGGCATTACGCTGATCGATCTGAAACTAAATTTTCAAATTTCTGGCAACACATTCCTTGAAAAATGCTTTGCCTTATGTTCTATTGAAAAGTTGCTTTGATTTCCTTTGCTCTTCTGTTACATTTCGCTCGATATTTGGGAAACACCCTTCACTTGCTTTTGTTGGCCACTGACAAAAGAATGGGAAGACTTTCCAAGAAAGGTATACGTTTAAAGCTACTAACAAATTATTAGCGAGAAATTTTGTCTCAATCACGTATTCATTTTGCTTCTGGGTTTTAGACAGGGACGCCAGAGAAGGGGGCGTGGGGGTCAACTGCCCCTGTTGCCATATAATAGTAGGGGCAATAGAGGCCAGAGTGCCATTTTGATTAAAGTACCCTTGAAACCGGCCAATTGTAACAATCAGAGAGATTCACATGAATTTCTGATAACAGTGCTTAATTCATGACGACATTTCTCCAAACTTGTAATATAAATCCTTACGCAAAAAGTTAGCCAATTTTCAAGATACCTACAGAAGATCGAAATAAAATGGCAGCTGGTAGAAGGAATTATTAGAAGCTGGGAGTTATCGTTCAAATGCCCTTTTACTCAAGCCTGCCCCTTTGCCCCTCAGTCGTTCCGGCGTCCCTGGTTTTGTCAACGATTTTTAGGGATTCAGAATTTTATTTTTATTTAGAGTTTGATTTTGATATTCCTCTTCTGAAGGTACATATTTTGATATCTTGTCAAATAGTTCCACTTTATAGCATCTACACATGTCCAGGAAATCTATAAAATGCCTGCTTGTCGTAGTCAGGACACTCAAATTCATCGCTTTTATATTTTCAGAGCAACATAAAAAACATTTAGGAACTCGTGGATAAATTTTGCATTCCTTGGAAAAGGACCTCTCGAATTCATTGTAAAAACATAAAATATTCAGATTCTGGAGATATTTTGTTACAAATTTTGACACTGGCTTCTATTATAAATATTCTCGACTATACGGAATAATTCTGGGTGTAATTCTGATTAAACTTGCACTTAAAAGAGCATTTCTTTATGATGTGAACTAGCAAAGCCATGATAATGAAGAGCATCTAAACAAATTTTTAAATGAAAAAAAAATTGTTAGTTTAAAAATTGTCTCTGGAGTACTAACAAACTAATGCATTAGAGAAATAAAGCTAATCTGATCTATCTATTCATTTTTCTATTTTGCTTATTCTGAGCCTTTTTACTAGTAAATATAAAAATTATTTTTCAAGAAGAACTAAAATTTACTGCCTATGTTGAATACACAAAAGTTAGATTACAGTTTTCCAAAACGTATTCATCATACTGAAAGTTTGAAACCCATTGTAAACTTAACAGTTGTAAATGAAAAGTATTTTGATGCCATAAAACCTGGTTAGAATTCAAGTATGAAATGCTACTGGGGCTTATTGACATATAAAGCTAAAATTAAAAAAGAAATTGCATAGGGATAAGCAACTGCCAGTTTTGAAAAATATAAAATATTGCTAGAGTTGATTGGCATAGGCTGATCAAGGCAAAAAAGGTCAACCACAACATTTAAATTTAAAGCAAGGAACACAAATTATTATTTATAAATCTCTCCTTCAAATCTATATTATATAAATGGTTTATATAAATAGCAGTGAAAATAACTGATTAGATGTCTTTTTCATGAGAGAGGAGTACTAACTTCCCAATTGTGCATCCTGACTCTAGGTCTTTGTGTGCTTTATCAGCTTCTTTTAAAGAATACTGTGTTACCTTACCAACTCTTAGCTTTCCTTCTTCAATCCATTTCAAAAGATCACTCATTGCCTCTTCAAAAAGATCCACCTTCTTAAACATGAAGCTCAGGTTAAATGCCATGACACTTTTGTTTTGCTCCGTTAGCTGCAAAAGGGGTGGGTATCCTTATACAGAGCTTGAGAATTGAAAGGATATGACAGTGGATGTGCAGTATAAGGCATGAGAACAACATATCTTACTTAACTTTTTCTTTAAAATGAAACATTTCATTAAATGAATCTACAAAAAGACATGCTTGTCTACCAATCTATAAAGGCTCTTTTAGAGGTGATAATTTGCAAAATTAAATAAAAGATGAATGCCCACAAGTTGTTTATACAACAGTGATGCATCTTTTTTTTGCCATTAAGAGCAAAAAACATTATCATTGCCAATATCAGTACTATCAACATAAGATATGATTATATCAATGAAGGGTCATGAAAGTCCCAAAACTCTAGAAATAGCAATACCTGCATAGGATTGAACTTGGGAATATTGAAAGCATTCCATCCAATTTTGAGCCAATTGACCATTGAGAGATAGCCATAACTTGAGGCATCTGATTTTGGCATAACAGTGTGAAACCCTTCAAGAAGAATCTAAAATTATAATATGCTAGGAAAAAAACTAAAATCAATGCATATCTCTCCATAATGATATCAAAACAAAACCATTAATTTACAAAGACAATCCTATCTGTCAACAAGGCTAATATTTCATATTATACCTGTAATGAATTACAAAGAGATTTACAATAGAAGCATGACAACTTTTTGAATTGTTGACAAATCAAGAAAAGTATAAATATAAAGTAATACAATATAGACCCTGCTTGTAAATACATATTAAATAGAATAACATTGAATTGCGATTAATTGGATAAAAAGATAGAAAAAAATACCAAAGTTACTCTGGCACACATTATGCTCTGAAAAATCATTCCAAATAGACATTTGTAACAAGACAATCTTTTTTAAGCTTGAATGTAGCACACTCACCATAAACTACAAGTCGTCCACCACAATCAACATGATTGAAGCTTTCTCCAAGTGTCTCTGTTCCATTTGCATCGAATACAGCCTGAAATTTCCCACCATTAGATTTCTCAACAGCCTCCCAAAGATTACAAGTTGACTTATCAATAACAACATCACAACCTGCAAAAATTGAACATCTACAAGTGGTAATGATATTACAAAGAAACACTAACAAAACATACACTTACCAAAATATCACTTTTAACAGGCCTTTTCAAAAAGAATATCCCATATAAATTGGCCAGTGTTCAGGTGAATTCTCTTCCACTTGCTTCAGGTAAAGATAACCAAAAAATAAATATCCATATAAATGTCAAAGAATGACAAGTTAGAATGCTTTCTTTGTAAATAATGTTAGCCCACTTACCATGCAGGGAATCGCATGATATGATATGCATGTTAAAACCCGACTGGAAACTTTGTAGCGTGCCTGTGATATATTGCCCGTGCACTCAAATTTGGTATCCACACACTTTTGCATTTTGGACGCGCAAAGTCCCTATTTGAATACATTTCACATTAATAACAATACAAATTCTTTAAAAGTGCGTAATTTCAGGCGCACAGCGCGCAGTCAGGGCATGAACTTGCCTGCGCAAGAAACAAAGTTTCCAGTCTGGTGCTAAACGATGGAAAAATGGCTGTGATAGTTGAGTGTGATGAAAGAACCCTGCCTAGCTACAGTTACCATTGCAGGAAGTGATTTGAGATAAAAATAATGTTTATAATCAAGCTATGTGCTCTGTACATTACTGATACAAATTCATGTTAGTATCAAAATAATAAAAGTTTCTTCTGGTCATATATAACACTTGAAAGACAAGTTTTATATAAGCCTTTGGTGCCAGCCTAGGGGAAAGCTGTAACATCAATAGAGCTGAAATTACCACTTTTCCACTCAATTTAAACTAGAAGTTATGAATCGTGTGCCTCTATGAAAAATTTTGCCTCCAGGGGTGCGATCAGCCACACACCTGCTAAAATCTTTAAGAAGAGGCCTGGCTATTATCAAAAACAGAACATTACTGTTGTTCATGCTGATCATCAAAAAAAAAATTACCAAATTTTAACTGTCCAGACAATGTTTACATATGACAAGGGCAAATGACATTTAAATACCAGGTGTCTTTTGTATTTGAGCCAATACTGCTTCAGTTTACTGCCAGTTTTGTATTGTTTATTTCATTTGCGTGGGTCATCTGATGAAACATTTATACAACTAAACCTCAACTTCTTTAAATTTTTCAAGAGCAATAGGGCAGCCCTCTAAGCAACCAACTATTTTGTCTTACTGATAACACAATAAAATAAAGAACTAAGATAGTCTAACTAAAATCCTTCAATTTTCCACTCTTTTCACATTTAGATTTCTGATGGTAAGAGACTCTGTTTTTTGAAACAAAACCTACCAACTTTTAAAAGAGCAAGCTTTGACGAGGCAAATGAGTTGTTGCTCTTACATTTCTATCTTGTTTTGGGACAGCTTTTAGCCACTTTTCTTTTGCCAATTTTTGTGTTTTGTATGCCCTTTGTCAAGTCACTTGGCCAATTGCAAAAGATTTCTAGCTTAATTGGAAAAAATAACTCATTAATTTTACCTAAATCTTTTGCAAATTGAACTTTTGATGATTTTCCAACAATTCCAGTGACATGGCACCCAATTATTTTACCCATTTGCAGCAGCATAGACCCGACACCACCTGAGACAGAATGGATCAATAATCTATCTCCTTTTCTCAATTTGCAGCTTTCAAACATCGCATACCATGCAGTAAGAGCAATAGTCGGAAAACCAGCTGCCTCTGAAGCAGTCATTTCTTTTGGGATATGCCTTATTTGTCTCTGGGGAACTTTTATTCTCTTCGAGTAACCACCAAAAAGGGTGACTCCAAAAACATCGTCCCCAACTGCAAAATTACTTGCCTTCTCGCCGACTTTTATCACTCTTCCACTGAACTCGAATCCCGGAGTTATAGGCCAGCCTACAAATTCCTTAGCGGATGAGTACAATCCCCACCGAATTATGACATCAGCGTAGTTAACTCCAGCAGCATAGGTCTCAACAACGACTGACTCTTCATCACAAGGTGGGGCGTCAGTGAAATCATAATTTGCTCCTTTGGTGAACGAATCTTCATCAAGCTCTTTATATAAAAGATGATCATATCCACCAGGTTTTTCTATGGAAATCATTTTCGATGGATTCAGACTTTATCAAAAAATTAAGTCTATCAGTTAAGGGCAATAGTTCAAAATGACAGCTGCAAAGTTATCTAGGCCAAAATGTAATGTGGGGTTCAAAGGTCAATTATTTGCCAACGTCAGGCTGAATCATTTTCAAGGGGGCACAAAAGTTCAGGGGATTTTTTTATTTCAACGACATCATACAAGAGGTACATAGTCTTTACAATCTAAACGAGAATATAAAGTCTACAAGTAGAATTGAAACAACGTTTAAGAATAAAACTAAAATTGAAAAAGAATAGTAAAAGTGCGATCGAACGACGACAAATAAAAAACGAAAATTAAAAAAGGGAACAGCCTCCTTTAGGCTAGCTATATATTTTGCCTCTAAATGCTTCCTTTGGATATTTTACAGTACAAAAAAAGTACAGATTTACGGTATGTTTTTAGGAGCAAACTTATCCCACCTCTCGGCCAATAATATGTCATGTGGGATGAAATTATCGAATGTTTACATGCAGATTCTATCTCGCCTTCCAGCTGAATATGGAGCATATCATCCCACCTGATGGCGTTGATATGAACATTTCATCCCATCTTCCAGCTTCTTCCCACCTTCCAGCCTTTATATGGGAAAAATCCATCCCACCCAATTGAGATCCCACCTCTTACGCAGTGTAGAGCCAAAAAATGTAGAGGGAGGGCCTAGCCCTTTCTCTAAAATGTATATCAAATGAATGTTTCAATTGTTTTTGTTTGCATGCCTCCTCAACAGGGCCGTGGCGTGGCAAGCCTTGTTGAGGGGAGGGGGTGTGGACTACGAATTTACCTGATAAGAAAATAATTACTTGAATTTCTTTAGCTGCTGACGCAAACCTCTGCAATACATTTTGCCAATCTAACTGTGTGGCATATAATTTGCAAATTCCATTTATATGATAAAAACAGACTTTTGTTATAGTTTCATCAAAAATATGTATATCGGACCAGGCAAACGAAGTAGATGCTACCCGAGGCGGCACCATAGTTGCCGCCAAAGGAGGAAGACATTTTCGAATTTTGATGCTTCTAATTCCCTGGAAAATTCACTCTTTTAAGCCAATTTTTTAAACAATCCTCCTGATCCTACTGAAAAGTCCATTATTTTTTCAAACAAATTGAACAGCAGATAAAAAATGACTGGTAAAAGTCTGGAGCTGATTGTGAACTGTAATTGAGGCTTCTACTGAGAAACTTTAGGAGAAATGGACACAAGGCACAATTTTACCCAACGAGGGCCTGGATTTGTTGATATAGTGCCAACAAAAAATCTTCAAATCATTGACGCTTAGGTTGTTTACCTTCATCTAAACCAACGGATTAACTACTTTTGCTTGATATTTCATTGATTTCAAGGCATTAAAGTCCCTAAAATACCTAAAGCGTTTCTTCCACCGAGCGGATTTTGCCTGAAATTTCCTATTGGCATACTATTTGGGGTGTGATATTCCCACACCTCTGGTCATGACGCCCCTGGGTCCTCGAAGTCAATTTCTTTCCACTTTTTGAAGGTAAATCACCTTCCGATGTCTACCTGTTACTTGAATAGAAAAATTTTAAAAATAAAGAATTTGACGTTGTAAAATTTTCAAGAGGGCTATTGAGGTCACACATGAATGCAAATGTAAAAAAGTAACAACTCAAAGACTTGATCCTGGCAGAAATTAGCAAAGATATTTTAGAACTACCCTGAAAAAAGAGGAGGGGGCGCAGCCCCCCTTCGGAAAGTAAAAGAGTGGGCTGAGCCCCCTGAGCCCCCTGAGCCCCCCTGAGCCCCCCTGAGCCCCCCTGAGCCCCCCTGAGCCCACCCTCTTCTACAGCCCAGCTCTTACGCGTCACCTAACCAGGATGGCTTGTTTGCCATATTAACACAAGACGACAATACAGAGGATTCTATAGGATGATGGGAACTCACCTCTCAGCTCACAGGCTGATGATGATTTTATTCATACAAACAGGCCCGTTATGCCTCCACAGTTGGGGTTAATCTCTGCAGACTTCAATGTGCTGTTTCGTCTTTGGCCAATCAAATTGTCGGTTCTTTTCTCTACTCTGTGGTTTAGATTTGATAAATTTCTCGAGCTGTTTTCTCAGATTCAAGTGGAACTAGGATAATTATAAAGGAAATCTTCAGTTCAGTTCTTTTTATTTTTTTATAAGGATGATTTCGCCAATCTTGCTCATAATTCACAACAATATAATATGGCGTAGCGGAGTGCGGAGAGAGAGCTTATTTCATATTTATGCTTTGAAAGAGTGGCTTGTTGAACATGGACGCTTGAAACAAAGGGGTTGGTAAGAGACGATTTGGTTTGTCAACTAAAACTGAACCGTTACGGGTATATTATATCCGTTCTCCTATATCATACTTGAGCAGAAATGCTCCATTATTCAACAATGATGGTCTACACTTTTCATGACAATGATAACATCTGGGTCGTTTTATAGCTTCAATTAGCCAATAAGTGCTTTTGAAAAAACGCGCTTCAAAAGCTTTAAATTCTTTCATGACCCCTTTTAAATCTTCCCTTGTTGTACCTCTTCTTTATTTTACTTGTATTGATAAATTTCTCGCTTTGGCAACACCTGAACACTTGCACCCGAGCCACATCAAATGCACAAATAACGTTACGTTGAAACGCGGGGGAAGCGGAGACTTTGACTTTCCGAAGATCAATTAAATTCAGGAAAGGCATTAACGTAATTAGCAACAATAACGCAAGGAGATGATGAACAATCTAATATGATGGCAGATAATCTCTTTAAGTTAAATACAAATTGATATATAGTGCTTTCTCGAAGATGGTATGGAAATATGCGAACATATAGTGTAAAAGTTAAATGTGTCTTTTTTCAAAGTCATAGATAACTTGCTAATCATAAAAAAAGTTAAAGTTGTCAGTGGATCCAGACGTACTAGTCACTTCACAAACAATTTATGCATGAAAGGCCTTACACAACGGATGGCCCAGGGACGGATCCAGCAAAAATCCTGACTGAGTTCCAGGCCAAGGCAAGGCTAGGGTCTTTCAGATAATGCATTGATAATTGTACCTAAAACAACATTACTACTGTGCCTCTGTGAACATTTTGCAGCCCCCTCCCTTTCTCAATACCCTTTTGTTTGTTTTGAATAGGTCTCCCGTGTCATTTAAGACTGCAATTTGAAACCAACATAGGCATACGGGACGGGGGCGCTGGGGGGCTTCAGATTCGGGCAGCTGAATTTTTCGGGCAAAATTCGGGCAGCAGCCTTTTCCAAAAACAAGAAGAATAAGAATAACTACATTTTGAACATGTTTAAAAGTCTCTGAGATGAAAAAATCAAGTCATCGTAATCGTGAGCGCTTTCGGAAGTGAAGGAAGAAGGTAAAAATCTGTTGGGTGGAAAAACGCAAAAAAGCAAAAAGAACAGCAGCAGCCCAAACAGTGCTTGAAATTTTTTAGAAGAAGTAAAAGAAAGCGGCTATTATGCTCTCATAATTGTTGAAACATCGGCCTTTCGTCAGCACCAACAAATTTCAGTTTGTGTCAGTTTTTTATTGAATTGTGTCCGAAGGGAAATTTTTGCTAAATTTTACAAAACTCAGTCTTCAGCAATTGTACAAATTTGGCTTTAGAGCGTATGTAGAAACCTGTTGTCAAATGCTTTGACAGTCTAAAATGAGCGGCAAAGCCAAGGGCTTGTCAAAGCGAATGGAGGACTGTTCTCTGCTGAGCATTTATGTCTACGGCCTTAGACATTAGTTTAATCTTGCAGAAAGTGAGTCGATTAGAAATGGACTTGGTGTTGTTCAAGGTCTCTACAATTTCATTGAGGCCAACGCCAAAAGGCATGACATTTCAAGAGAAAAGTTGAACATGAACTGTCATATATGTAATTTGGACAAAGCGCAACGCACTTGGCTTGCCAGTAGGAGTCAGTGAAGGCAGTGGACAGGACATTTATTTTATTTGCAAGGGATAAAGACCCCAAAACCCATCTAGAAAACAAAAATCTGCTCAATTGATTCTACAATGTAATGGATAAAGTTTTGAAAAAAATCTATGCTCGATTTAGTGATCGAGACCCACCAATTTTATGTGCTTTGGCGTAACAGAGGCATCTAGTGCCCCAAGCAAAGAACTGCTACGGGACATCTATTCGCGGACAGCAAGAAGATCACATTCAATGATGTGAGCAAGTCAAACATAATAGAAAAGAATAAAAATGAGAATTATCTTCTCGCTAGCTAGGTGGAACTGAGTTTTAGAGACTTTCAAAAGTTGAATAACTTTCAAAGCTTTAAAGATATGGATGTAAAAGCACCTTGGGCCCCCTTTTGTTGGGGGCCCTTGGTTATCAAACTGAGGCAATGTTTTCAAGCACTGTGTTACCACACACTAGCATGCCTTGAGGTATTGCCTAGTGTGCCGTGGAAAATTCTCCAATTTTACTTAATTGGTCTAAAAAATTGAAAAAAATTCATCCGCAAAAATAGAAAAAGGCTGAAAAACGCTGAATCAATGTGCTCTAAACTGCGTTACGCTATTGGCCGGGAATGCAAGCGTGAATGCTAAGAATTCGACAGAAATCGTCATAAAGCTCCTTCTATCAAATAGATTATGAGTTTCTGACCTCCAAGAAATGGAACACAAACTGCTCAATAATCACAAGAATAGGCAGGTAAGCAAAAAAGTGTGTGAATTGCTGAAAATGATGCAAATCACGTTAACAAAAAAATATCGATAAAATAGTAGATATGTTTATTTGATGTCGTGGAAGAGATTCGCTTTTTTTTAATAAAAATTTGTGAAATGCCTAAATGCTTGTTCTGAAAAGGCTTATTATTTAACATTATTTTAATGACGTTGCATTTTAATCATTTTTGACTGATATTAGAAGCTCACATGAGTATACTTCGTATTTGGGCGTAATTATTTTTCAGGCAAAAATATTTCAGCCCCCCCCCCCCCCCCCCCCCCCCCCCCCCCCCCCCCCCCCCCCGACCTAACTCACCCGCCAACGCCTATGAAAACCAAGGTAGTTATGCTCCTGAAAATTAACGAATATCTCCTTGTTTTATCTCAAACGCTT